AACATATTTCAAGCAAAATTATTTTACATTATATGTATAATGTTGACATGTTTAAACATTAATACTTACAATGATAATATATACAAGAAAATCAAAATGATTGTACTTAAATAGGGGTGCAAATCGAAATAAGTGATAGTTATGCCCTCTGTCATGAATTTTACTTGCACAAGACACTTGCTCACTAGCAATTTCTTGAAAATACAATTATTTTGAGTTATTCATATTTAATTGCACTTATTAGACGTAGAGTTAGAGGATAAAAGAGAGCGATTTAAAATCCCCCTTTACATACTAATATTAATGATTAATTATTTTTAAATAATACAGATTCGCTTATATTTATGAAGTATGGGCTTCAAAGTATAAAATTTAATAATTTTGATAAAATATAACAAAAAAATTGATTTCTCTAGGCCCAATAAAATGTCTTACAATTGCTATTTTTTATAACTCAACATGAATATAGGAAATTATGTTTATTTATATATATTTTTGTCATTTTTCACATTTTATTTCAGTAAAGATTAATGTTGTAGTCTATACTTTCTTTTAAAAAAATTTGTTAATATATATGTTTGTCTTGTATGTTAGAATTTTGTGTCCGTCCATACTTGCTTGATAGTAGCAAGTTCATGTCTATGTGTCAACATGAAGGTCAAAGAGGTTGTATTTGAATTATGCGTGTTCTACCACAACAAAACTCATTTAATATTCATGTTGACAGATTGCGTCATATTCATGCTTGTATCTTTTTTTTTTTTTGAGGAAATTATAAAGAAAATAATAGATAGAATCATAAATACATCAAGTTCAACACCACAACAAAATAAACTAACAGCAACTAGCAAGGCAAACAAATTACAATAATCAACACTCGTATTACCAATAGCTTTAGTAGCAACACATTGCAAAAGAGAGCATAATACACACATATTCCAACGGAAAAAGATAAGCATAAGATTGAAACGACTGAGTCAGAGAGCTCTGCGTCAAGGTGGCTGGAAAAGACTTGGGTTGTGTTGGCTATTTCGACACTTTGAAGGTTAAAAATGTAATTGAAGCATGCTAGTAAGAATTTGAAAAATGCTTATAGATAATAAACGCCAATTCACATCAAGCGATTGTGTTAATGTTTTTTTAGCCTCAATGAAGAGGACTTTACTGTGTTTTGTTGAAAAGATGAACAAAAGCTTGTAATTTAAATTTGTAACAGAATGAGAGGAAGAGACTGGGCAGAAAATTGCAATTGATTAATTGAATAAACAATTACGATATGTTACCTTTAGTAAGGGCAATTTCGAAACCTTAGACCGATCAAGTTCTAGAATTACAAGGCTAATACACTCTTATGAAAAATAAGTGCAAATGCAAAAATTTAAAGAAAAATAAAATTAACAAAGACGTGGAGTCTGAATCTGGTCGGGGGTCTCTTCAATCTTTGCTTCCATTTATTTATAGTCTTTTCGTGGCGCCTTTAAAGCAGTTAGGCTGATCCCTCTTACCATGATTTCCTTCCTTCTAACTATTTCTTAGGACCATAATATTTTCTTTGTACGTGTGTAACTATTAGCACCTGCTCTTTGTTAACTCCCTCTTCATGTACCTCTCACACGTTGCTCATAATGTTTGCCTATTGCAGACTTGCATTTGAAGCTCACGCGGGCATCTTTAAATGTGGGACTCTTTATTATCTTGATGTATCCCACAAGGTATCCCTTGCTTGCCACGTCACTTTTGCATTGGATGGTTTAAATGTGGTGCCAACAAGTTGTTGATACAATCTTAAATCCGAGACTCTTTCTTACGTTTGCCTTGATCCTGGTCATGGGGTTGAAGGAGTTCCACAATAGTGGTCATACGATCCGATCCCACATAGCAATTTCTAAAGTCTTGACTGTTCTTTGTCATTCGACTTTTTCCATGACAAGTGCGCTTGCATCGCCAGTCACAAAGCTTTATAAATTTATTTATTTTTGATTTTTGGGGAAGATCGCACAAGGTTTTTGCTTGGGATCTCTCCCTTGGTGTGGTGTTTTGTGTCATGCGTTTTCATTATTTTGCTTATTTTTTATTTTTGCGCAACTGAATTCTCCTACATCAATATAACTATTCATGCTTGTATCAAAAAATGATCCATCCTAACTCTCTAATTACATATACAATTTAAGTTAAATTAACGAGTTGCATGTCAAATTCTCACTCAAACCATAATATAGACTATTTTGTAGTAATTCATTTTGTCCTTAAAAACTCTATTTGTCATGATTATCAATAAAATAAGTCTATTGACCTAAATGTAAGAATCCCAAATTTGCCTAAAATAAGAATGTATAGTTGAGATTAAATTTGTGTAATGTATTATCTGTGTCAAAAAAAAGCAAGACCACAAAATCATAATTTTAAATAATTTTTAAATAGTTAAATCTTAATTTGTAATATTATTGTTATCAATATCACACACACCCGCAAATTGGGCAGAAAGAATACCAAACCAAACCACAAGCAATGGGGCAAACGAAAAGGATTCGAGTCAACCCATTGATCTCACGGGCCTAATGTAATCACCTACATTGACGACCACTGTTTTACCGTATCAAAAACCGCGAAATCAAATCCAACGCCACGTGTTTTGCACCGTGTGTCACGGGTGCCAAATAGATCCCGATAAATTACAAAGCCAGGTAGCTGTTCCACCGATTCAACTGTAAAGCGGAGCGCATACAATAAATAAAACAAAAAATATCATTTTGTCTTTTAAATTAGCACTCAAAGTTCAATTCAATTATTCTTTTAACAATATTAATTTTATAATTAAATTATTTAATTTTACATTAATTTTACTCCATCACTAATTAATGTCTATAATCAGATAGAAATGACTGATATCACACCCAAATTTCATTTAAAATTTTATTTTACTATCAAATTATGCCAAAACATAAATTAGATTCTTAAATAAAACTAATTTTGGGATCAATTGATATTTTAAAGATAATTTAGGGTAAAATAAAATTTTAAATGAAATTTTAGTAAAATGTCAACAATTTTGTTTGATTATAAACCTCAACTAACGGCGAGATAAAATTACTTTAAAATCAAATAGTTCTAAGTATAAAATTAATTTTACTAAAAGAAAAAGAATTGAATTAATTTTTTAATCCATAGTTTGAAAGGCAAAATGTCATTTTTTATACAATAATAAATGAAAATCCAAAAAGCAAAACAAAAATAGTAATACTGGATATTCCAAAAATTTTATTCAATTTTTTATCAAATATCTCATATAAGTGTGATGCATATGTGACTTACATGGTGTAGATTGCACACCTATACAAGACATTTAGTAAAAAATTTGATAAAACTTGTACACTCCATTTGGATGTGAAGAGGTCTTATGAGAAAAAAAAAAAAATTAGTAAGAATAAGACACCCCTTGACTTGTTTGGATGGTTAAGTAAGTGGCAAATGATGAGAGATAATAAGAAAATGATTCTCACCAAACTTATGTTTTATTTCTCACAAAAAGTGGTGAGATTTTGTGAGAAATTAATTGGGATTAATGAAAGTTTTTTAAAATTATGAAAAAACATAAGTTATTAATATGAAAGGTTATTTTAGTAAAATAAAATAAAATAAAATACTTTCATTTCTTTTATTTTATCTACTCTATCCAACCTTATCTTTTCTTTTCTTTTTTTTTTATCCAAATATAATAGTATTATTTGAGAAGTTAACTATTTTAGTAGGCTAAAATATTTGTATTTGGGAAGAGGATTAGATTTTTTTATAATTGAATGTAATGTTTGTGAGAGAAAAATTGAAATGATTATGAATTTGATGTGACATTTATCTTATTAGCTATTTTAATCTATTTTATCTTTGAATGAATTACAGTAAAAGTCCCTATAGGTTGAGATTTGTGTCATTTTGGTCCCTGACTTTTCAATTGTGATACATTTGATCATGAATTTTGAATCTCGTTTCAAATAAGGACAATTGAAGACATTATTGCTATATTTGAAGGGCAAAATTGTCATACAATTTATTTTGTATTGGTTAACTTATATTGTTTGAAATATAATGGCGTTTTATTTAATGAATAATGTTGAAACTTTTTTGGTTATAAAGTTCCATTTTGTTTGATTTTCAAAATCTATTTTTAATTTTTTTTTCTAAGAAACTAAAAATTAAATTGGTGAAAAACAATACATAATTTTTATATGATTTTATCTTCTGATAGGGTAAAAATATATATTTTTTGATATTTATTTTCGTTAAATTAGTTTTTATTTTTCAAAAGTAAAACATGGTAACAATTTTGATGTCATTATTAAACCAATCTATTTAATCAAAAAAATTCAAAACTAAAAATATTTCATATATTAAACGTATTGATTATACATTAAAAGCCTAATAACCATCAATTATATGATAACTATAAAAAAATATTTGTTAACAACAAATACAATAATTTATTACATAATAACCATTTAAAAATATCAACAAAAATAACCACCTATTACATGATCATCCAAGCATATACTAAAAATTAATTTGATAAAAAAATAAAAATGTAAAAGATTTATCATTTTTATATAATTTTATCTTTAGTGATTATAAATAATTTTTAAAAATTTAAAAATAATTTTTTGACATTTATTTTTATCAAACTAGTTTATATTTTATCAAATTGATGATTTTACCTTTAAAATGTAGCAACAATATTTTCAATTGTCTTTTTTTAAAACGAGATTCAAAATTTAGAATCAAATGTATTACAATTAAAATGTCATAGACTAAAGTGATACAAAATAAGGACTATTAATATAACAAAAATGTTTGGGTCCTCCACCGTGTCAAACCTTGCCGAATCGTCCGTGTTCTCCACTTATGGTGATTTTAACCAAGCATAGCGTTACATCCGTAGCATTTTTTTTTTTTAAGGGCAGAACCGGGGTCCTCCACCGTGTCAATCCTTGTCGAATCGTCCGTGTACTCCACTTATGGTGAGTTTAGCTTTCTCTACTAGATTCCAAACGTGCGATTAACACAATTATTACCAATGCCCTCCTGCAAAAAGCACACTATTATACTTCGCTTAGTTCTCCGCTCTCCCTTATCAATGGCGTGACTGCTTTAACAGTTTCAAAGATCTCTGCTCCTCGTTTTCTCTCACTTTCCTCTCTTTCTCTCTCTCTAAAATTCTTAACATTGTTCCCATATTTGGTTCTATATATAGATTTTCAGTGTTGTAGGCTAGTGATTGGTTTTTGAGATTTTTTGGGTGGGATTGATTGACACAGCTATGAGGAAGCTTATGGGTTTATGGGTTCTATTTGTTGTTGGGTTTGTTAGCAAATGTGTAGATGGGTTTGAGTATTTCAATCTGACAGAGCTTCGATTTGAATCTTTCTATGGAGTCTCTGCTTCCGACGGTAATAATCCTCTCACCGTCGGTCTTACCCTCATTCAAGGTGCTGCTGCCAAAGGCGCTGGTACTCTCTCTCTCTCTCTCTCTCTCTATATATATATATATATATATATATGTAACAATTTTGATGTCATTATTAAACCAATCTATTTAATCAAAAAAATTCAAAACTAAAAATATTTCATATATTAAACGTATTGATTATACATTAAAAGCCTAATAACCATCAATTATATGATAACTATAAAAAAATATTTGTTAACAACAAATACAATAATTTATTACATAATAACCATTTAAAAATATCAACAAAAATAACCACCTATTACATGATCATCCAAGCATATACTAAAAATTAATTTGATAAAAAAATAAAAATGTAAAAGATTTATCATTTTTATCGCTGGTACTCTCTCTCTCTCTCTCTCTATATATATATATATATGTTTTTTGTTTTCTAAAATGATTTATTTATTTATTTTACATTATGGCCACTTTATGGATTTGCTGCTAATTGTAGAATCTTAAGCTAACTATGCATAATTCTATATTGATTGATGTTACTTTTCACTGTTTTCTTTATTTGGTAAAGCAAGTTTTTTGCTTTTTTAAAACTGATTTCTAATTATTGATTGATTTTGTTACGCGTTTTCATGTTTTCCTTTTTTCTTGGTTTACTTTTATTGGGTGAGTGATCTGATTGAGGTGCTTTTGTGTCATGGCATGATATTAATCGCATAATTATATCAATTTGTTAGCCTGTTTGCTTTGTGTTTTTTTATCTGCTAAAAAGTTTGTTGATAATGGTTAGATTATAGAGTTAGCCTCCCATCCTTACAAATCATCCAGTACTTTCCTCCTTATTCAACTGCCCTTTGGCCGTGTTTGGTTCAAATGTTTGGGGAGGGATCTAGAAATATAAAGGCAAAGGGAAAATAATGGTGAAATTTGAATAAAATATACTTACATTTTATCTAGTTTCATATAGTTCTCCATTTTTCTTTCCAAATCCCTCCTCAAATCATTGAACCAAACACGACCTTAGGAAGAGTTGAACCCATGACCTCTCCTTGGGACTAAGCCCTTAATGTTGTGTTTGGTTGGGAGATTTGGGAAGGGATTTGAAAAGGGAAAGGGAACGCGAAAGAGAAAAAATAGGTGAAATGTGAATAAAATATACCTACATTTCACCTAGTTTCACACATATTTTCCCTTTTTATTTCCAAATCCCTTTCCAAATCTCCCAACCAAACACAAGAGAGTCATGGTGACTAATTAGGCTAGGTCTAGTTGGTTAGCCTGTTGCTATCAATTTGTTAGCCTGTTGCTATCAATTAGTGTTGTTTGGTAGTACTGATAGTAATTAGTGGATTTGGTTGGTTAAATTTAGGTCTTCACAACTATCACTTTCTCATATTAATGATGCATCAACATGCCCTTTTAGTAAAAGGATTGGGCTTCTCAAATTTAAATCTGAATCGAATAAAACGGTTTTGTTTTAATGATCCAAATTGTTCATTTTGTAAGCCTCTTAAATTGTTTCAAATTTAGTTTTGAACTTGAAAAAACTCAACCCGTAAAGTAGTAGAGTTAGCGTAATCATCATTACTTTGTGACAATTCCTATGGGTGGCCCAGTGGCTAAGGGCTTAAATATGAAAGGTCTGCTATGGATACTTCTCGAATTGAGTCTCATGAGGTAATAAAACACTCGGGTTTAATTGACACGTGATTTGTGGGTGATTGTGCGTATCCAGAGTTTAGTGATAAGATTTTGTATTGGATGATAGGTTGGGCTGGTTGGAGTTCTTGGTCTTTAAAAAAGTAAAAAAATGCCTTAATGTGGTACAATTTTGTCCCAAAACAAAAAAAAATTGACAATTCCAAAATTTTTCCTAAATATTTGCTTGAAAGTTTCCTGTAGGAGGTAAAGAAAATCAAATATATGAACTAGAGAGAATGCAGTTTTTGCATGACCAAATGTAAAACAATTGGGCCCTAATGTTTCATACCTATACTTTATTGGATGTCTAATTATTAAAATATAATTGCTATCATCATTTAGTACTCTCTTAAATTTTATTAGTGTGATCTAAATGACCCTACCTTCATCATACACCACATTCTAGAGTATGTGATGTACTACATTTATGTTCCCATTCCTTGTATTGGAACAATCTGCATTCAAGATAACATAGCTTCAAAGTTATATATCTCATCTTATTTGAAGTTTTAATGATTGCGATATTAGATACTTACTTTTCCTTGTTATGAAATCTACCTAATTTCCCCCTCCCCCATTTATCTTGTGGTGTGGTTTACTTTTACAGTATGTTTGGACGGAACATTACCTGGTTATCATTTCCACCGCGGATATGATTCAGGAGCAAACAGTTGGCTCATTCAATTGGAGGTATGTGAGACAGCTTGAAAATACTTGTCCTTTTTCTTACATTTTTACTTTTACACTTTAAAGTGTACATGCTTGTCTATGTTTTCTTCTGTGGTGTTTTTCATTATCCCAAAGAAAACACACACACACACACACACACATGCACACACACGCTGATGTTCCACTGTTTCAAGTACCAAACTGTGAGTCTGATAAATCTGTAGTTCCAGATACCCGTTGCTCCTCTAATCCTTAAAACACAAGTATATTGATTGGGAAGATTATGTTATTTCTAGTGGCAACCAGAGCACACAATTCTAACAGGTTCTATGTGATCGACAAAACAAAGAAAAATTATTAATAATTTGGAGTTCAAAGAAAAATGAACTGAAATGCGAGATTTTCAAGCACTATGTTATTATGAGTTAGAATTTCCTTTAGCTCACATAAATTGCTCCGTACATCTGAGGATTACTTCTAGAAAAATGTTTCCTCCTGTTTTCAATGCAAGATGTTTGATAGTCTGTTGATGACATGTTATGCAGTTATCAAATTAGAGAAAAGTTTTGTTTCGTATTTTTTGTGTGCTTATCATTATTTGAATCTGTGGGCTGACAATATCTTGGCAGGATGCTTCATGCTACAGATTTTTCAACTATGCTTCTTGGTATTGATTGAGAACGTGACTTTGTGGGACATCTTGTGACAGGGTGGAGGATGGTGTAATGCCATACGATCTTGTGTTTACCGCAAAACGACTCGGCGTGGATCATCAACTTACATGGAAAAGCAGATACCATTTACAGGAATACTTAGCAATAAGGCCGAAGAAAATCCAGGTATTCTCTCAATCTCAAAGTACATCTAGTTCCTATTTTTTTTTTTTATTTAACATAAAACTACATATAGTTAAATCATCAATACAACTTCCTTCTTCTATCTTCTTTGTTATTATTATTATTATTTTCTTTTTTGTGGCTATGTTCTGGATGTGTGTGTATGAGCATTTTGCTGACTAAAGGTCTTGTTTCATTGCAGATTTTTTCAATTGGAATAGAGTAAAGGTTCGTTATTGTGATGGTGCCTCCTTTGCTGGGGATAGTGAAGATAAGGTTAGTGGGAGAGTATGTGGTATTTTTATTTTCTTGTACAACCAATATTGATGCTCTATTTGGCTACAAAAAACCTGAACAAAATGAACGAAATTGCTACCTTACGGCGCTTGTCCTTTTTGTTGGTGGGTATTGCGGCCCTAATTCTTACCACTGGTAAATGTAATAAGGTATATTGAGGATATTTCCTCCTATGTCATTGCCTGCCATGAGGCACATAGAGGCATGGGGTTTATTTGAAATTTGAAACAGTTCTCTACCAAAAATCACTTGTTGGATATAGTCACAGCCTTAGCACTCAATTTTATTCATCAACTCTGAATAATAAAATGCAACTTAATATTTATAGCAATGTTTTGAAACCAGACCGAATCGGCCGGTTCAACCGGTTGACCCATCGATTGGTCTACCCTCTAAGCTTCAAAACTGGCTATTTTAGATGACCGGATAAATCCGCAGTTGAACCGGTATATTGGACGAACCGGCACCGATTGAAGTAAACCGGCCGGTCTCATGCGCGCTTATTCCAGTGTTGAAGCTTGTGAGAGTCGAACACAGCACCTTTGGTTGAAAAGGCAGCTTATTTCCATTGAGCCACCATACCTCCTTGCTTATATATAGTAAAAAAATATTATTTATGGTATTTATTATATCTTATTCCAAACAAACATATATTTAACAATTTTACAAAACGAAGTTCCACTTTCACATAAAAGTACCACGGCAAAAAAAAAAAATCCACGTGAAAGTGGAATAATAGTATAACCACTATGTCACCTTTAACTTTAGTTTATATTTGCTAAATATATATTATTATAATATTTTCTTTCAAACATTATATATAATTAGTATTTTACAAAAAAATAAATATAGATATATTTATGAAATTATATTTATCTTAAAATATAAAAATAATTTAAATTAATATATCTTAATTTTTATATTATTATTAAGTAACTTTTTTATATTTATAAAATAATTATGACATCACGGTTCAATTTCAATTCAACTTGACAGTTGAACCGGTGATCTATTCACCAGATTCCTTTTCTGGTTCGCTCATCAATCTAGTTTTTAAAACATTGATTTGTGAGGCATTAACCCTAATTAAACCCTAACAATTTTAGGAAATATAACCAAATATCCTAGCAAATAATTACTTATAATTCTAAGTAAATATTAATAATAAAATCTACTAATTACACTTATTGGACCAAAAAGTCTTATTTCCATGCAATGGGTCCATGGGCTTCACCCGAGGGAGAAAGTAATATTTCTGAGGCTAACATATACCTATGTAAAATAAACCTGCTGATCTAATCATGTGGTCAGGCACCACTGTCCATGGGCCATGTGCCCAATTGAAGTACGCAGGGCCTACATTACAGATAAGGCTCCTGCACAAGTTGCTTGACATTTATTACTTCTTTGGACCACATTACTTTTCATACTTCCTCCAAGTCATTTCAAAGAAGAGATGATTAATGTTGTACACTAGGTTGAGTTATTCCCAGAGGCACTAGTTAGTGTTTTGTCTCCAACTTTATTTGCAACCTGGACCACATTACTTTTCATACTTCTTCCAAGTCATTTCAAAGAAGAGATGATTAATGTTGTACACTTAGTTGAGTTATTCCCAGAGGCACTAGTTAGTGTTTTGTCTCCAACTTTATTTGCAAACCATAAAATGTGTAGTATATAATAATTAAGCACTTGCAAAGAAGACTAACTAATCACTCCCTCCGTCACTACTTGTTTGTCCATTTTAGGGAATCCAACTTATAAGGAGATATGCAATCATGACACTTTAATTCAAATTATGAAATATTTTTACCACAAGTACCCTTCTATTGAATTTTTAAATGGGTGTATACTGATTTGTAGTGGGTAGTTTTGGGAATCTAACAAAATTAACATTTTGGGATAGATCAAAATGGAAAGGTGGACAAATAAAATGGGATGGAGGGAGTAGTAATTATAGATCAAGTGATATAAGGTGTGCTTTGTCAGTAATGGAAAACTGGTAGGCATTTTAGTGCTAATAGGTATTTTGGTGTTAATTTTGACAAAACAAACTCCAATGACCTTATCTTGTAAAAATTATTCTAGTAATGCAATTTTTGATGCCTCTCTGTTAGTGGATCCTATTTCCTTCATCACATTAAATTGGTCCAAGGCGCAACAGTAACAAAATAATAATCGATCCGAGACTGTAGATGAGATGAGAAATGGTGCTTGTTTAATAGTTTGTGAAAATCTATTCCACTATCCTTCAAGAAATTAATTCACAACATCGGTTATATGAATTGGTTGACTATATTTGATCATGCACCTAAAGTTGTGAAGTGAATCAAAGGTACTTGAGCTTGGCTTGTGAGTATCTTGGTTAGAGGCTTGCCCTAAATCAACTAACAAATAAGCCAAGCTTCAAGTAGTAGCTTGACTTGAATTTTGTTTCATAAGGTAGTGGGCTTCCTAGAACTATATAACGAAGTGAGCTACTCAAGTTCACATCAAGATTGGCTCATATAGAAGCTTGCTTGAGGTCGTTCGTAAGATAAATGAGTTAAGCAATCCACTACTCGGTTTGATTCCATTCATTTATTGAGTCTAGGCCTGGTTTTGATCATTGGTTTGTGTACACTTCTTTAAGGAATATTATTTCATTTCTAGGCTGCACAACTGGAATTTAGAGGGCAACGCATATGGTCAGCTGCTATGGAAGATTTAATGTCAAGGGGGATGAGCAATGCTGACCAGGTTTTATGTCTACCAAATCATTCAATTCTGTCCATGCCTTTTTGCCATTATTTTGATTCTTCTTTTGATAATACGAATCCATTTTGTTTCAGGCTCTTCTTTCAGGGTGTTCTGCTGGGGGCTTGGCTTCTATATTACATTGTGATGAGTTCCGAAATTTATTTCCTGCAAGTACTAAAGTGAAGTGCTTGAGTGATGCTGGATTATTCCTTGACGCGTAACTACTAAAACTCTAGTAGTTTGATTATATCCTGTAAAACTTATACTTGTGTATCCTCCTAAGCTTGGTTGTTAGTAGTTAACATTTTTATGGTCGACCTTTCTGGCATTGCAGGGTTGATGTATCTGGTGGGCACACCCTTAGGAATTTTTTTAGTGGTGTGGTTAGCTTGCAGGTACATTAACAGAACCGCCACAAAACCCCCCCCCCCCCCCCCCCCTTTCCCCTTTTCCATATAATCTACATGTCTATCATCTCCTGCATGCACACTAGTTACTGTGGGAACTGGAAGTAAGCTGTAACACACATATATATAATCAAAGTTATATTATATGTAATGATTCTTGTAATTTCATTAAAATTTGTTACTTTCAAACCATGCATATGCTGCCTCTGATTGGCCAGCTAGAAAGGGAATATGGAAGTTGATTTTATTTTATTATTATTTTATGTCTCTGTATCTATCACAATACTGTCCCTCTTCCTTGCAACATTTGTTGGTAATAAGCACGGGCACTTCTTAGAAGGTGGCTTATCTTGTCGGACACCGATACCACACAAATCTCATTTGACACTTGGTGGACACATGTTCAAACATGTCTTACAATCGTTTAATTATTTTGTAATATATTTTAAAAGTGAATCCTGCCATAATTGTTTAATTTTTATATCCAAAAACTTGATATATGACTTGAGCAATTTAAAGAAGTTGTGCACATGCCTGTCTAGTAACTTACTAGTTCTTATTTCTTGAATATTTCTCATTGAGCATGGTCATCTAACATCCTATACATTCTTGATTATTTGAAATATGTTTTAACTACTAGGGGGTGCAAAAGAATCTTCCAAGCACTTGTACTGAGAATCTTGATCCCACTTCGGTGAGTCTGTTCCTTCAATTTTCTTGGCAAATGCAAGAGATTTAATTGCATAAGAAAATACCAAATTCTGTTCAATCCCATCATTCTCAAACTCACATTGACTTTCATATCATTCTTCCATTACAGTGCTTCTTCCCCGAGAACTTAATTGCCAATGTCAAAACCCCTCTATTTATTCTCAATGCAGCCTATGATTCATGGCAGGTAATATCTTGTTTCTGTAGAGTTTGCTAAATTTAGTTCACCTGGAGTTTCACTCATGCAGCAAAACAACTGACAATGGGTTGCTTTGTCACTGCTTTTAAGTGTGTTAAATGAAAAACTTGATAAATTAGGTCTCTTCATTTCGCAATTCAGGTCCAGGCCAGTTTAGCTCCTGCATCAGCTGATCCTAATGGCAGTTGGCGTGACTGCAAAATGAATCATGCAAGTTGTTCAGAATCACAGATCCAGTTTCTGCAAGGTGGTTTCATATAACAGAAATTACTCAACTGGCATGACTATTAATAAATTTAATCAGCTTTGTTAAAAATGTAGTATAGAAATTTTATCAATTGATTAAAGATTTTGTATATTCTTTGGAGCAGACTTCAGAAATCATATGCTGAATGCAATAGAGGGATTCTCAACGTCCGAAGAAAATGGGTTATTCATAAATTCATGTTTTGCTCACTGCCAAACAGAGAGGCAGGATACATGGTTTGCTGATGATTCACCTCTTGTTGGCAATAAGGTACAGCTGATGTGTGGTTACTATGTATTAGTTCTATTGAATACTAGTATAGATTTGTAGTCAATCATGGTTTTCCTTTCTGCCTCGAGCTATGTCATATTTTGATTTCTCTTGACCTAGCCTTCAATTTAAGTCAATCACCCATACTTTTCAAGTCAGTTAATGTCAATCTCATGCTCAATGTTTGGTTTTACTTATCACAATTAACTCATACTCAAGTCCTGTTGATAGAAATAAACACGCATGCATATGAAGAAAACATAAAGAAAAATTAACACCTATGCTCATACACACATCAAGTAGGCCTAGGTCTCATACTTGTACATTTGCATCACTCTATGTTAGCTGGAATGCGGATCGTTCTGGTTCGTGTAACAGGAACACGTATGTGGTATGCCACACTAGGCTGCAAACGAGCTGAGCCGAATATCAACTTTATTTGAACTCGGCTCAAGTAAATTTTCAAGTGTTTGAGCTTGGCTTGAGCTCGACTCGTTGGACTAAAACAAAACTTGAACTCGAGCTTTGCAGTCCTATGCCACACGCTCTAAAATGTTGTGTGATAGAAGCAAACTTGTATTATACTACTTTTAGAGTATTTTTCTTTTAACATTTAGACATCCAATGAAATGAAGGGCTTTTTTTTTTTTAATTTTTTGTCTCGAATTAATCATGTAGTGACTGTAACACATTTCTATCATCATGACTCAGACACTTTTTCCTGTTAAAACTTGACTCACAATTATTCATTATATATATATATATATTTTACTTCTAAGAAAACCTTTATGTTGTGTTTAGATCGTGAATTTAGATGGAAACTTGACTCACACTTTTTCCTGTTAAAACTTGACTCACAAATATTCCATTCACATTATTATCACATTTTCTCTTCCTCTTTCTCTTTTCAAATCCTTACCCAAATCTATTATCCTAACACAGATCACTTTTGATATGCTAAATTTACCTTTTGGAATGAAAATATACTATGTTTCAAAATGTGTGTTCCAAAATGTAATTTGCTAGCATTTTTTTGGTAACACTAGCATTACTAATGACCTCTATAAAATCTACACGAATCATGAAACACATATTACCTCAAGGTGTAGCAACTCTAACCAAATGCGAGGAAATTTTGTCAGGAGGCCCAGCTTGAAGAAAACTCGAGGAGATGCTTCCAAATGTCCACTGAGCTAGGCTCTAGTTTTTTGGAGATCTAGTAAAACTAGAACTCAACTTGAAATTATTGGTCCTTGAGATTTGTGATTTAGTTATTGTTAGTGTGTGTTTGTTTGTTTGTTCTCCCCTTTTTAATCTTTTAAGAGACAGCAAAGAATACAAATAATCAAGAATTGAAGATTTAATCCCACATAAACATACCTCATTGGACTTAAAAACAATTCAAAGATGGAATGTAAGTACTTTCGATCACTTGTTGGGTATCTACATTTGTGTGCTCCTTTTGCATACTTGTTATTGTTGAGCAAAAGAATTGTGAACTATCTAATATGGGATGTTTAACGATGGCAGGGGATCGCGCTATCTGTTGGAGATTGGTATTTTGATCGATCAAGCGTTAAGGCCATCGACTGTGCGTACCCCTGTGACAACACTTGTCACAATCTGATTTTCAAATAAGGCAGCAACATATATGTATTTATTATTATTATTATTATTTTTAATTTCATTGGCACATTTATGTTGTCATCTTAGTGAGTTATCTCATCTCCCATTCAGAAAGCTAGCAATTTTTAATCTTCATTAAAGACAATAAAATTGCAATTCGGCGAGTAAGTGCACATGATTTATATACTTAATTTTCTTTCTTCTATTTTAGGCCAAGCTTGGCAATTGTAAAATAATTCATCTTTTTATCTTTTTTTTATCACATCACCTCTCTACTTTTCTGCACATCTTTTCGTAAAAAGATAAAAAGTACACTTATTTGGGTCATCCCAAACAACCCCAGAGTAGTGTAATTCTGAATCTCTAATAAGCATGTGTTATGCTTGTGGAACTTACATAAGTATCTCTGTAGTAATGACTTTGTAATAACAAAGTTGTTTCAGTGGCTACAATTATGATTTGGTGTATTAGCTTGATGTATATATTGTTGGTTTCATTTCATAGTAGTTTAAACTTTTGTTACTACAATTGTCTTGACATTGTATCTGAGCTCTATTTCAAGAGGTTTATCTCTTGCACCTTTTGCGTCCTAATGCGTGTGCAAGATGAGATCGTATATGATTGGGAGAGTTAGATTCATATACATCTAAAAAGTAAATAAATTTGAGTAAAATATTTTAAAAATTCACTAAAAACACAAAAATATAAAAAATAAAAAATTCAAAAATTATTTCTAAATTTATTTAATTTGTTGCTGTTTTGTTGGCAAAGAATGTTGAAGGAAGTGTCCAAATCTTTTTAAATTCTTGACCCAATTAGGAACAAAGGCATCTAATTTGCAACCACTAAGGAGCAAGGTTGGCGTACTTGTTTCCAGTCACTGTACTTGTTTTTTATTGATACGGTGGCGTGTTGTTGATAATTTTTTTGATACTATGTTTAATTTATTATTATAAATATTATATATTTATTAAATAAATTGTATGTCACCAAATAATTTTAATATAACATAATGTATTTAATTAGCAAAATCATTGTTCAAAAAAATTGGATTAGCTAGTCAATTGGCCATATTTTTATCAAGCAAGCATATTACAATTACTGTCAAACACACACATTCAGAGACATGGATACATACATATGTCTATATGTATGTGACACATAAAATTCACCCTTAGAAATTGATCAATTTTTAAGAGTGAGTTTTGTTTAAGTGATTCATATCATTTGATATAAGAGTTAGTTATTACATCGACTATGTGATTGAACACACTTACGCTATATGGAGGAGGTGACGTGTAGGCTAGGTTAAGACAACAAAGGTGTTGAATACTAATGGGTGAGTGAAGTTGTAATAAGGAAAAAAGTTATTACTGGGTTAGTATTGATAGAGTGAGGTTACCGTGGGATTATTTACTGTTGAGATTAAGTGATAAAATGATCATTTTAATCTTTTACTATTTAATTATATATTATATTTAATAAAATTCAATAAAATTTAAATGTCTCAATTTAAAAATAAATTTATTTTATTCAACTTTTTATTGATGTTTTATTTATTTAATTTTTTTAAAATAATTTTTTTTATAGATATTTTATTGATGTTTTATTTTAAAATTTTGTTTATATTTTATTTAATTTCATTATTTAAACTTCAATAGATGTTTTATTTAATTTCATTATTTAATTATTATTATTTTTTAAAATAAATTTATTTAAAAATTTAATTAAAAAATAACATATATTTTTATTGATATTTTATTTATTTAATTTTTAAAAAATTAAATTTATTTAATTGTGTAAAAAATAAAATAAAATAAATTTTTATTTAATCTAGCTAAAAATAATTAAAATATTAAAGTTATGTTTAATATTGCTATTTCTTAATAAACAATTGAAAATGGGTAAAATAATTTTTTGCTCATTTATCTTATCTAATCCGTCCAACCAAACATTGGATTCAGTAAAAATAGTCATTTCCAGATAATCCCATGAGAAAATAAACATGGGATACATATGCAATCCAACCAAATAGTCTGAGAATTCACAGTCTCAGGATTCACGTCTGATGAATTCTAATCCCCTCTTATTCAGTCTGTCCAATCATCTCCTAATTCAATCCCTTAAACAAACCCAATCTTTAGACTATCTTATCTTTTGATTTTATTTTATTTTATTTTTTCATAAAAATTTAAACATAAGGTCTCACAAATGAACGATTGAATTATTGGAGTGAGGTCTCTAGTTAGTCCACTGGCACAACTTATGAACCAAAGACGAGTTATATTCAATTTCTCTACATAAAACCCATACAAAATAACTTGACAATATCATTTTTTTTTTGTTTTTGTCATTCATAGTAACAATTGTAAATGTTCTGGGTTGAAATGAAATGAAATGAACAGAGAAGAACACAACATTTTTTATGATTTTTTATAAAAAAATTTGTGATCGAACAAAATAATTATAGTAGAGCCTGCAGGGCTTTGAAAATCACTTACCACACCACATGTATTATTCTAATTCTGGTCGTCTTTGATAGGTTTTATTTATTTTTAATTTGTCAAGACGTTGATTTTTTTTAATTTCATACTAATCATGTTGCTATTATTGTTATTATTATTATTATTAGGGCGAATTACACTAAATGTCCCTATAGTTTGGGGTTTGGGTCACTTTAGTCCTTATTTTTTAATTGTGACACATTTGACTCTAAATTTTGAATCTTGTTCAAAATAAGAACAATTGAATATATCATTGTTCAATTTTAAAGGTAAAGTCATCAATTTGATAAAAATATAATCTAATTTTACAAAAATAAATGTCAAAAAATGTTTTTAAATTTTTAAAAATTATTTCTATATACCAAAGATAAAATTATGTAAAATTGATAAATCTTTTACATATTTATTTATTTTATCAAATTATTTTTTATTATGTGTTTGGATGATGACTATATAATGGAGTGGTTGTTTTTATTTTCATTAAATTAGTTTTTGGATATGTTTGGTAAGACTTTCAAAACACAATTTCACCCCTTGGTTTGAGTGTGGTGTTTGTTTAGAGTTTTTGAAAATTGATTCCACACTCACTTTTGAAAACACGTCTACCTGATCATCCTCCCAGACGTCCCCCGGTCGTTCGGAACAATGTTGTTGTTTTTTTTTTTTTTTTATATATATATTTTTTTATTTTTTGACAATCGTTATTTTTATATTTGAAATAAAAAATATTTTTTAATTTTTTATGAGCTTTGAATAGAATTTTGAATTGTGTATTTTGTTATGAGTCGTAAGTTTTTAAATCAAATATCATATATCACATCAAAAATTTGAAACTCAATTCAAAACTCTTTTTAAAACTTATTTACACGCAAATCATAATTTCAAAACTCACATACTCAAAATACAACTCTATTCTCAAATAATAATTCTAAAACTCTACCAAACGCTACCTTTAATTTTTCAAAAGTCAAATATGGCGACAACTTTGATATCATTATTAAACCAATCCATTAAATCAAGAAATCCAAAACTAAAAATATTTCATATATTAAATATATCGATTACACATTAAAATCCTAACAACCACCCATTATATGATTATCATTTAAACACATAATAAAAATTAAGATGGTAAAAAAAATAAATAAATGTGTAAAAAATTTATATAATTTTATCTTTGGTGTGTAGAAATAATTTTAAAATTTTAAAAATATATTTTTTAACATTTAGTTTTGTCAAATTAGTCTATATTTTATTAAATTGACAAGTTTGCCTTAAAATTGAGTAATGGTATATTCAATTATTCTTATTTGGAACAAGATTCAAGATTCATAATCAAATGTGTCATAATTAAAAAGCCATAGATCAAAATGACATAAATTCTAGACTATAGGGAGCTTTAATGCAATTTGCCCTTATTATTATTATTAGTTGTTTTTGTCTTTGCTTTTTTAAAAAATCAGTGTTCATATTACTGGTCTGGTGAACATGATTAAAAAAAAGAGTGCTGCTATTAGTACCCTTATCAATTATTTTAGACCTCCTGTTCTTTTGGACTTTCACTTATGAAAAATTTAAAAATCCCCTAGATATTGATTTGTGATTATGTATCAATTTTAAGCAGAATATAACAATCTCAATCAAACAATCAAGACAAATCGACACAACGATTTTACGTGAAAAAACCACAATTGGACACCTCCAATTGTAATAAAAAACCACGGCAAAAGCCACAAAATAATCCACTAAAAAGGCATAAAAGGAATTACACAGGTATACTTTCAATTACCTAGCGAATCCACGCCCAAATTGAACCAACCCCTATGTGCCTCTTCCAACCCCGTCTTCACCTCGGAATGGTCTTGACGATGAGCCACTAAATGAATCCACCAAAGCTTCAGGCTCGAATTCTTCAGAATCCACCGAAGAACAACTCTTTCTTTTGTGTAGAACAAATAAATAATCTTTTGATGTATACTCTTTAAACCATGAGTTAAATACTCAATCAAAACATCAAAGAAAATTAGCAAAATATCCCCAGATATAAACCCTAGAACCCAAGAAGAAGATCTGGAGAAGTAATCCTAGATTTGGATTGAAACACGTATTTATAGAAAACTGTCCTGCGATCTCCACTTGAGCGTCAGATTGGCCGCTCAAGCGAACCTACGCTCGAGCGCGGAAAGTTTTGCTTGAGCAGAAAAAAACAACATCCAGTATTTTTGCAGGCGAACTAAACTTCTAGAACTCAGCATTCTTCGCTCGAGCGGGGAAATGTCCGCTCAAGCGGACAAGCCAAGGGGCGCTGCCCCCCGGACCCCCGCGAGCTGACCGGACAGCTCGATCCCCGTTATAATCAGCGAAATGACAATCTTGAAAGAATTAAACACCATAAACTTCTCTGCAAAGCACGATTCGGGTTGGATTCGCATCTAACAACTCATAGCCTCACTAAAATAAAAATGCGAATAAAATTACAACTCAAGGAGTTTTGTCAAACGGGATTGCCAAGAATAAAACCTAACAACTTATAAATTTAAGTCATTGATTGTAAATTTTTATTTATTTATTTATTTATTTTTTTAGGAAGTGCATAAGTTGAATTATGTTGAAAATTTATAAAATTTTAAATTGCCAAACTGAATTATATCCATCTGCCAATTTGCTAATCCGCTTAATCCACATCTGCTGGATTGGCAGA